TATATATATATATATATATATATATATATATATAAGTATATATTGAACGACCGTGTAGAAGGATAAATACGTTATTATACACAAACTGATCAGTGGGAGAAAAGCACTGCGGTTTTGGAAAAATGGGCAACATGGCGGAGATGACGTGAAAAGTGGGAACTCAAATTTTGGAAAATAACGTCGGCAGCAATTCAGCCGATAAAGTTTTTTGGGATAATGAAATCCCTAACATGAAGAGCTAGACCCTCAAGAAACTCGACAACCGATGACGCTCTTTGCGCTTATCGGCACTTGTTCGGGATATTGCCATCGCTAAGAATGATTTACTTGTTTTTTATTTCCAAGTTAATTTTGTGGTTTGAATTTTCACACTCTTTTCTCCTATCACTGGTGGTTTTACGAAACACCTCTAGTCGCACTTTGTGTGCGCTAATGCATTTATCCTTCTCGAAGGTCGTCCAAAATACAAATATACACACGTATAAATACGTACATACATAAACATTGTACATTGCTTTTGGTTGAGGTCATAAAGGCTCTCCTCCGAGGATTCGGTCTTCTGCTCGAGGAGTGGTTGAGCTTACGTAGTTGGGGGCTTGCATGCTCGTCCTCGTATCGCGTACGGTGGTTGATTATACCCGTTCATACGTATTACTACCGCACAGGTGCAAGGAAACACGGGGCGGTCAACCAAATTGTTGAAAGATTTGACTCCAAAACCGTCACGAAGAGACTGAACCTTACCCTGTGTGGCGGTTTGTATGCCTCGGCGACCCATTGAGCTATACTGGGGGATGTCCGCTCGACACTCAGAGTCTCTCATACCACTTTGGTGCATAGGTAGAGGTCTGACGAACACAGTCTCCTGGCCCTCCATGTTGGGGGCTGAAAAATGTATGGCGACGTGTTCCGTAAAAATGTTAATGTACTTGCATTTCCGGCCCAACATCGCTGCCTTGCGATTAGGCTTTTGAGCAAGATAGCTCAAGTGGTTAGAGCGCGAATTTACTGACAGGAAGGTCCGTGGTTCGAACCCGACCTCTGCCTCTCGACTTCCCCTGTCTAGGCTTGGGCAACTTGATAGTATGCCAGCCCTCGTGCTTCCTTCGGGTGGCATGGCAGCTAGGCACCGAAAGGGCGCTACAGCTGAACGATTATTTTGGGGACGAGATAGCTCAAGTGGTTAGAGCGCGAATTTTGAGCCAAAAGCTTCGGTTGTGTCCCTTAATTGTCCTCCTGTCTAGATGTGGGATCCCCGGCAGTATCACAGCCCTCGTACAAAAGTGACATTCACAACTAACAATACTCTCATTCCACATCGGCTGTCGCGTGTTGCCATCAGCCGGGTCGTCTTGCTGCATACCGCATGGCGGGTAATCGAAAACATGCTACTGCTGATGCCTCTCTTCTTACCCACGTTTTCCGTCTTCCATCCTCCCCCGGCCAAAAATTGAATACTTTCTCCGCAGGTCTCAGCTCTAGGACTGGCCGTTTCGCTGGTGAGAGCCTTGTTGATTTGGAGTACGCAGATGACATCGCCCTCATTTTTGAAAACCAAAGCTAAGCACAAGTCCTGTTGAATAGACTGGTCACCATCATACCATCCCTTGGTATGCGCCTTGCACCTTCAAAGTGCAAAGTCATGCTTCAGAACTTGCCATCTGCGAACACATCCCTTACAATTCAAGGAGAATCACTGGAGATTGTGGAGAACTTTACATGCCTCGGTAGTTGTATTAGCTCTACGGAAGTGTGTCTGATGAAGTCAGTGCAAGAATCTCAAAGGCTCGAATCATGTTTGCTAATTTGCGTCACTTGTGGCGTCAGAAAGGCATCTGACTAGGTCTTGAGGGTCGTGTGTACCAGGCTACAGTAAGAGCTATGTTGTTGTATGGATGCGAGACATGGCCTCTGAGGACAGATGGTGTGACGCGTCTTCAGGTTTTTGACCACCAATGTCTCAGAAGTGTGGCTGGTTTTGGATGGCGTCAGCGTGTTAGTGACGAAGTGATTAGAAATGGGTATTCGGTTGTGCTTCAGATACTTCAATCCAGGTAAACATCCAGCATCATTGACTATGGTGGCTAGGTCTTGTGCTACGCATGCCGAAATACCGTCCACCGAGATGAGTGTTGTTCTCCGTGCCTCCTTCAGGATGGCGCAAACCACGAGGTGGACAGCGCATGACTTGGCAGAAAGGCGTGAAAGGGATCACGAAGAGTTTGGGTGTTGTTGGTGTTGTACGCCTTCCAGGGTGTGGTCACCGTGACCCCGTCTGTGTTTGGCTGGAGACGTTGCAAGAAATGGAGGCTAATCGATGTCAGTGGCATTCGTGCTGTCACTTTCTTTCCAGGTTGTTTTATTGAACGGTTGCAGGTGTATGCACCTCAGAATGCTGCACTACGTCCCCTCCCTCACCCACTCTTTTTCTCTTCTCTTCTCTGTAGGGCTTTTAATACAATTATATACATATATATATATATATATATATGGTGCCAACACTAATGTAGTTGTCTTTGATGATGATTATTTGCTCCGAGAGCTTCTCGTACATTAAATTTCCATCAACTTTGATTGCCGAACTAACCTGTCATTCATGTACGTGTGAAAAAAATGATCTCCAGGATGCGGTGTGTGCATCAGCTGGAACAAATTCCGAGCCTTTCCAGTTGCACTCCTCAGACTGCTCGATCCCGAGTACTCCATGTACAGGTGTCTCGGAGATGCGAACATCTCAGGTTCGATTTAGTGACAGAGGAGTATTTTATGTACCCCACTATAGCTCCCTTTTCTCTGGCCATCCTATTATGCAGATGTTAGCACCCAGTGCCCGACGCAGAGTTGACGTTGCGAAGCCAAGTCTCAACGCCCTGTCAACTTGAAACACCACATAGTCAGTGGAATCCTACATCCAAGCCGTCTTTACGCTTACGGAACATTCAGTATGTGCAACTCACTAAAATCTGGCAGCTGTCGGCTCAGCATCATGGCTAGCCCCGGTTGGCCGAGCAGCTGACAGAATTCCACTACCTACTGAATGCCCATTGCCAGTGGCCCTTTCACAAGGCGTTGGGGTTTTCGAACTGTTACCGAAGCGCAGTAAATTGTTTTGCGTTCGATGGATTACGTGTGTTGTTGGCGATGGTTGTTCCACCTGAAAATGCTGACGTGAGAGGATTAGACTGAGACGTAAGCGTTGTCTTACCCTGGCCATAAGCGTTCAGCCATCTATCGCCTCCAACAGTTGCGTGTACGCACCCAGTTTCACAGCTCCATGGAGGTTTGATGGCGAGTTCATTCGTGAGCGGGTTACTTTTTGAAAAGTCGACATCATCATGATGAGTGGCACCTTGCTTACAACCGCGGTCTAAAATCCATAAATGTACTAAGTGCAATCGCTGATGTTATAAAGATGCTCGATTTCAAACCGCAGCTCGTCAACTGTGACCCAACCCTGTTACAGTGACAGTTGATCGCATTTGCCAAGAGAGGTTTGTGACAATAAATGCTATCAATACCCTAGTTTATCCGCAACCAGGTTCGGGTTCCTGTGTCAAGTTGCAAAGTGAATGGGCCCGGAAATCGATTGGCAAGCCTTCTGAAAAACTCACACATACTCGTAACACACTTGGAGGAAAGTGAAGCTGACCGACGATGTTTTTTTCGGTGTTACAAGCCATATACTACTTAGCGTCGTGCTTCAGGTTTCACAGGGTTGGGCGAAATCGAAGAGTAACAACTGGTTGAGAAACTAATCAACACTATCTTCGACCTTGCAGTGCTCGAATTAACCGTGCGTAAATGCGTTTCTCAATCCCCTCGATATCCTTCCATAACGCTTATATACCAGCTTTCGCAGGACCTGAACAAGAGCGAAAGCTTGACCGCCCCCAACGTTAGACTGGCACTCACGTCTAAACGCTCAGTGCCATAAGTTACGTTAATTGTTGGCTACAAATTGAGCAGATTCTAGGAAGTGGGTGCTCCGTAGCCGACTAGTTGTCTGGCATGGCGAGGTTGCTCAGTGGCTTGAGCGCGAATTTACTGACCGGAAGGTACGTGGTTCGAACCCGACTGCCTCTCGACTTCCCCTGTCTAGGCTTGGGCAACCTGGCGGTATTCGAGCCCTCGTGCTTCCTTCTGGTGGCATGGCTGTTGGGCACCGAAAGAGGCTACAGCTGATCGATTTTTTTTCATGAACAGCACCTTAAATGAACAGGAGGGCAAATTGCATCGGTTTAAATTATTACACTTACGGAAAACTTGTGTTCCCCCTCGTGCTCCTTCTGGTGGCATGGCTGTTGGGCACCGAAAGAGGCTACAGCTGATCGATTTTTTTTCATGAACAGCACCTTAAATGAACAGGAGGGCAAATTGCATCGGTTTAAATTATTACACTTACGGAAAACTTGTGTTCTCACAAGGGACGTGGTAGGCGGTTCATGCTGGAAATGGCCTGATGGTGTAGTTGGGTGAATACTGTGTTGAGGGCCTGTGTGCGCTTGTATGCCTCCGGTCTGAACCCCACCGACCGACCTCAATTTCTTGGGGTTGTCTCGGAAGTGCAACATCCGCTTGGATGTGATCCAGCTAACTCACATCGTTGATCACGCAGGAGTTACCTGATGTCGCTTTTAGCTGAAGCAAGACGGATAGAAAATCAAAGCGACAACCCGGCAGTCCGAGCTAGGAGCTTCCCATGGCAAATCACACCGGACTCCCAAATACTTTTCAACGTGCACACATGGAATGCATCTACCGGTAAGTTCAACTGACAACATGCAATACAATTTGATATAACAAATAAAAAAGTAAGTTTGAGATAGCAGAATATAAACGCACGATCTGGTAGGAGGTTGTACTGTACATTAAGCAACTGTAAGGTTGGGCGGTCGCATCCACCCGAGCAGTAGCAAGGACTGTCTACTACCTATTATATATATATATATATATATATATGCTCAATATAATAGTAACTCACAATTCAACCGCAGTATATATATATATATATATATATATGCTAACTATTAATTGTGCCAGTATGTTATTTGTAACCTCTGATCTGATCCTCGTTCTCACTTCCAGCCCAAATTACGGATTCTATTTTTTCACCACGATGACTCTTCGTGGTGGGCAGTCCACTGGTTCTATTCGAACATGGCGTCGGCATTTCCCCTTGTCCTCGGTCAACAGTGTAGTAGATCTGATGCGCGAGATCCTGACGAGTTCTGGTTTCCAGTTGCCTCTGGAACTGGACACGGGTGATACGGGAAAACTGAGCAGTTCTCTTACGACAGAAATATCCGGTGCAGACTCTCGTGTTCGTTCGACAAGCACATTACAGGACACGTACCTCATACCTTGCGTAATTGAGCCGGATCTGGCTTTCGTATCAATTGTTCTAGGATTTATAGAGAACCATTTAACTGTTACAGCTCCTGAGGAGGGTAATCAAATCCCCAAATCGAGACCACCCACTACCCTGAATGTATCCAACTCCAGGTCCGCTCGTCTACGAACCTCTTCCAACACTGTAACTAAAATTCCACCATCGCCTTTGTCCGTTCACAATTTCGAAGCACCAGACCCGAGTTCTTTGACCGTGTCCAACTCGCCTAACCTATCTCTCCCAGAGGATGCAGGCTCTCTGTCGTCCTCGTCATCTATTTCCGCTTCTGTTGTGTCGGCTTGTGATAATGATTCTAACGCAGGACAAACAAATGATTCATTAACAGTTCATAGATCTCGAAGATCATCTCAAACATCGCATAGAAAGTCTCGTGTTACTCCACGTCGACGGGTTTCATCGCAATCCCTACTCGCCACGGCTGACACACCAACACCATTCACAATTCATGAACCTTTACATGTGGTCACAGATTCTGTGGCTCCCTCATTGGTGACCAGTGGCAAAAAGCGTCGTTTCTCCGATTCTACAGCTGTCGCGAACGCCCGCTTCCCATGCCTGACTTTTGAAGAGGCAGAGAAGTGGTACCAAGATTTCTACGCTCTGATCACAACTTCACCCAAAGTGAGTTCTTGCTGTTTGATTCAGGTTTCTAGCACTCTGTGCATTAATTAGAATCTCCACTATCACTAGGACTGCCCCTCAGTTACGTAGTGACAATTTGTGGGGAAGAGACAAGAATAGAAGTAGTATCACCCACTCGCACCGAACTTCTCCAAACCCAGTGTGCTACGGGGTGGCCATTCTTCTGGTTATCATAAACCATGGTTGACAACAATGCACCAGTAGTACATGCTAGCGTTTAGCTCACTGTTGACAGTAGCAGTTTTCTGCACCTTGTCAGTTAGGCACAGAAGGAGGCGACTCGGGTTTGCGGTAAAAGGATAGACCCGATGCCTAGCAGACGTTGCACCCGTCCAAAAGATTTGAGGCCTTAGGTTTGACTCCTCTCCCCAAATTTCCTTTAGGGGACAAATGTGACTTTCTGTGAAACTTTTGCACATTCAGGTTCTAACGCATGGGTTACTGACGGCCACCTTTCCGGTTGTTTTGTATGCACATGGCGTTTTCTAACCATATGAACTGATGAGCTTTGGTCGAATGTGACCGCTATTTGGTTGAAGAGACCACTGTCTCACCTAGCAGCACTCTGTCATCATTCCCTTCACTTCGCCAGGACGTGAGACATGTTCTGTGATAAGTCCGATATTCTCCGAGTCTATTTGGGTTTCGTGAGAAATCCCTCTTCTAATGCGCGTCGGAGAAAGCGTGGAGGATATATGAGAGACACCCTAGTCTGTTGAACTATGTTTAGCTTAGTCCAGTCCTGTGGCGTCATGGCTTCGTGATGTTTCCTTTCAACCTCCTGTGTTTTCTCGCTACCTTTTTCAGCTCCAGCCATTCATGGAGACAAAACCCGAAAGCAAACAGGTTGGGCAGTCCCGATTTGCCACCAGAGGGCTGATCCGTGCTGTTTGTGAGGTTCTCCGAAGCAGCATGTCCTCTGGAAAGGGCAAGGAAAAACTTACCCACACCCAGAGTATCTACTCCTTCTTGACAAGTGAGAATTCCCAGAAATGTTCATATATGCCCATGTGTGTGTGTGTGAGGCACGGCTTTTGTTTTCCACACTTTGTGGTAGCTCTCAGCGGTTAAATCGTGGATTTTGGCCGAAGAGTTTGCCAGCGAATATAGCTAAGTGCGGTGAAAATTCGCCTTTGACGCTCCGTATTTGGCTCCACTTAGTAGTGTCGCTTTGGCCTGGTGCTTTTTCACGAATCAACACGCCGTTCGTTGTAATGTGGCACGGAGTTACTCTGCATTTATGGTCCATCACCCTACAAAATCCTGATTTTCCTGTAGGTTCTGTCAGCGTGATACTCATTAGGTGGAAGATTTTATCAGACCGTACGTTATAGTATGCAACAGCAGTGATGTGAAAAGGGATCACAATATCTGGCTGGCTAGCCCTTGTTCTCAGAATGTGCCTTATATCCCTTGCTACCTAACTAATAAATAAAATGACCGTTCAGAAGTAACACGCCTCAGATGCGTATGTGCCATACCACCCGAAAGAAGCACGAAGGCCGAGATACTCCCAGGTTGCCCAAGCCTAGATAAGAACGGTTGAGATGCGGGGTTCGAATCACGGGTCTGCATCTCAACCACTGAGCTATCTCGAGCTCAATGAGCTCGTTACCTGCTCAATGGGTCATGCTGTTGTGAAGAAACGAAGTGACTTAATGAATCTGCTGTTTGCAGCTATCTTGTCCTGTCCCGTTCTCTCTTAGGCAAGATGCGTATCACACGGTTAGGTGGTTTTCACGGGTGCGGTAGACTACCATCTATTTTTGTGTACGGAATTCTGAGGCCAATTTGGTGACCTGCTCACTTGGCCTGATGAAGCTTTTGTGTCAAAAACGAAACGTTGCCCAAATAAAAACTACCGATTGTTTACCAAGCTCTTTTGAAACGAGGAATTCTGAGGAGTTCAGAAGCGGCGCTTATGGAGGATGGTTTTTATATAGGGGACATTTCAGTGGTGATTGCCGTAAACCTTGTTCTTATCTAGGTAATTTGAGTGTAAATTGTTGCTATATACGTGAAACGAGCATTCCCACAGTGTTTTCTCTCCTGTTCTACACTGGCTTGCATAGCGGGCCTTTTGGACAGTTTTGGATTGGCTTACACCACCGTTGCGGCTTGTCAACTCTTGGGATATTCAGACGTTGATCTAGCGCTCTCCGAAGAACACGGCTGGGTAGAATTCGGCCCACCTGATGCACGGCAAAGCGCGGATGTAGCCACGTGGATGCACAATGCTCATCTTGGTTCGTCCATATACGAGTCAACAGGGCATTCCGATACACGTTCTCGCCCATCCCCAACAGTCCCTGAGTCCTCAGAATCCAAACCTTCACCTTTGCAAGATCGAAATGAGGAATCGGACGAAGCCACCAACCCTCCACCGATTCGTGCTCCACCATTGATCCACTCATGGCTCTACGTTAACGGATTCCCGGTGGTTTGTCGGCCACGCATATTGGCTGTCACAGCCGCCGTTGCTGCCCTGCAGCCTGGGGCATGTCTACCCGCGGTGACGCAGGCCCCTACTTCGGCGCCCATTACATCCGAGAACCGGTCAACCATGTTTAACAATTCCTGCTCTGACTTGGTCACCCCCGATGGCTTGGCCCGACATCTTTCCTCATCTCCGGCAATTTCCATGCAGGTATGTTTTGTTCAGTTGTGTTTCTACGTACCCTTCTCAGTCTGTTCGAGCCTAATCCTCCAGCTTTTTGGCAGGTGAACTCAATCTTTTTTTATTTATACCTCGTAATAACACTCATCCGTCACTCTATCTGGAGCATATGCTACGCATGTCCGTGGTAAACCAGGCTGTAGCGCTAAGTGGCAATGGCTACGATAGAAATCAGTATTGCGAGACTTTCACGCCTCCCTGTTTGCGGTCTACGTGACGCGTTTGCGTATAATTTTAAATTTTGGAGAATACCTAACTTAGCTCCTATTGGTATTGAGTGTGCACCCACGCGACTGAGTTGCTCATCGTGAGCTGGTTTGTTGTTTGTATGTTGGGAGTTGCTCAATGAAAAATGAAAGGAGGCTGTCCCGCAGATACTCTTGCGCAGTGCTCATACTCAAATTTTGCGCACAAAGTTTTGGCACCTCCCTCTTATCCATTTAGTCCAGCTTTTTGATGACGTTTGATGTCTGGGGGTGGGTCGCCCCGGGTAACGGAACTTCAGACAAATTAGATTATTGGAAATACGGTCACAGACAAGAAAAATCGCCCTCTGATGGGCCAGTTCTTTGACCAGTTAGAGTCATCTTGAGTCTCTTCACTCCACCACGGGAACCGGTACGGCGTTCTTGGAGATTCGACGATTTGTTGTACACTTAGTCGTGTAATTTGCTCCTTGTTCGGTCAGGAGCACTGTACTTCTTCGGATGGTATTCTCGGCAACTGTATGAAGCAATGTTTTCTTTCCTTCCGGTTGCATACACCGCTTGTCCACTGTTGTCCTTTGGTATATTTGGATCGGAAAGTTGAGCGATATCTATGGAACGAATGTCATGGATAAAAGGGATAGAAAAGTGCTTTTTCATGTGTTTGTTATGGTGTGTTTGTTATGGTGTCAACCAGATTGCACTAATACCACCCATTAGACAGGACGTCAGTTGAACAAGTTATATAAGTAGACTGACAGCTTGACAGTGTGAGTTGGGTTCACAGTCTGTGTATTGAATGCTCAACTAAAGAGTGTTCGATGATGCGTTCCCAATTGCCGGATGTTAAATACCGGTCGATACGTGTAGCATTCCTTGGCTGGAGCTAGTAAATCAGATGTATTTCGCGTCGGAAATATTTCGTTGCGAAAAGTCGGGAATCCAAAAGTGTTGCCAAATCAGATGCCCCTGCTACGTTCTGCACAATTTTTTCATCCGTTATAGTGTTGCATAGAATTCTGACCGCAATGGAAAAAACGCCTTATGGAAACAGCCCACCGAAGGTGATTTGACTGAAGAACGTCAGAAAATTCGCTAAGCTACTCACAAGTAGGCAAAAATCTGTGGGTAAAAAGACACTGGCTCCCGCTGGTGATCGTTGTAGAGAGGTAGACACTGTTGGGGTGGTTCTTCCCAAACGCCTGTCCCTAAATTTGTACACCACTTGCACTTTTATTCTTTGGTTTCAGAGGATGGATCGTCCTTTTCACGAAGTTTCACCTGGTTGACTTCAACGAAGCGGTGGATAGTCGTTTCGCTCTCATTGGGACTCAAGCTAGCTCCAAACCCCATACTTTGGCACTGTAGATGCTTACTCGCAGTCGAGAGTGACCGTCTACGGTCTGATAACAAAAGAGATGATTTTTAATTAGGTTTTTGTTTGAAGAGTTTCTACACTAAAACCAGTTGTCCATACCTATTTGAATGCTGCAACAGCTAGTAAACCTAGATTGCAAATGATTGATCGAACCAATGACTAGCGAAATCTGTTCGACATTAACGTGACCTTTGGTTGGCCAATAGCATAAACCATACTTCAATACTGGCTTAGCACCAGTCTGCGACGCGTTCAGGAGCCGCTTGAACTTCTGTACTATTTCTGCTGCATACTTTTTGGTGTAAGCGCACTTGGTCCATTCTTGGAGGCTGTTATACCAGAAACACCGGCGTGAAGGTTTGAGTTTTGTTCTCTTCCAGGCTTCGCAGTGGATTTGTCAGTTTGGTCGCCATCCTGGAACAGGGTCTGCGCGAAGTGGTGCAGTCTCCTCGTTCGTATAGATTTTAAAGAACACCACATAACCCCACAGCGATTGATTGATTGATTGAAAATTGTCTTCAAATGTTACATAAACACAAGCAGGGAAAGTGGAACCCTAACTCACCCAACCACATGCCTAGAATATTTGTTCGGACGGTGACGAAACTTTTGCAAGTTACTTGCAAAGCTCAACCAGCAGATTAGCCATCCCAAGTAGTTGACCACATTTCGAGATTCCGCAGCTCACCTTCAATGTAATCTCTATCCTGAAACGGAACCGAACGCAGTTTTTTTTCGCTATTCGTATTTGTCGCGCTTCTCAGCATCACGAATGCCCTCACACTGGATGGCAACCACTGACTAGTTTTTGCTTTCAGAATACACCTATTCTACTGGGGACTATTTCTGACAGGAAGAATCGGACACTTCCTTTTGGCCATGAAGTTTATTTTTTGGTGCCTCAGGGGTGTTATCGTAAGCGTTTTTCATGGCCCGTTCACATCGTTATCGAGTGTCTGTGTGAATTTACCCACCTGTTAGATCTCTCAATCTGATGTGCAACTGGGTACTCCTAATCGGTAAATGAGTAGCTCACTGTCTTTACATTCATCGGGTTAGTACTGTGTAAAATGTATGATATGAGTAATAGAATAGGGTCCAGCTGTAGCACCCTTCCGGTGCCTAGCTGCCATTGCACCCGAAGGAAGCACGAGGGCTGGGATACTGCCAGGTTGCCCAAACCTAGACAGGGGAAGTTGAGTGGCGGAGGTCGGATTCAAACCACGACCTTCCGGTCAGTAAATTCGCGCTCTAACCACTTGGGCCATCTCGCCCCCGTGTAAAGTGTACTCCTCGGTAAACCGGCGCAACCTGGAGAAACTTCATAAACTGCGACAGACGTCAATGCAATGATAGGAGTATTGAATAATAATAACTGCCCAGCCATAACACCCTTTCAGTGCGTACCTGTCATACTGTCCGAAGGGAGCACAGATGCATAGATGGGGTTCGAACCAGGGACCATCCGGCCATTAAGGATGTGCCTTAACCACTGAGTTATCTCAAGGTCAGACGCCAATATCGTTAGCATCTTGCTAGAGATTTGACCACCAGAAGATGAAGAGGCTGGCTCTTCATGAGAGCATTATAGTATCGCGTATCGTTCAGCTTTAGCACCCTCTCGGTGCCCAACTGCCATGCCACCCAAAGGTTGCACGAGGGCTGGGATCTTGCCAGGTTACCCAAGCCTAGATAGGGGAAGTCGAGAGGCAGAGGTCGTGTTCGAACCACGAACCTTCCTGTCAGTAAATCCGCACTCTAACCACTTGGGTCACCACGCCCCCATAGTATCGCGTATGCAGTTGACCTATACACTGTTGTGAGAGAACGTTGACTACACGAGCACACGTGCACACCGCCTCCATGCAATACTTTATATAATCTATTTTCAGCTAGTCACTTTGAAGCATCGCCTACTGTGGCTGTTTTTCGAAGCCGGTTGTCTGAATCGGTACCCATTGGGGTTAACCAACCTTGCGGATTTGGAGGACGCTTTCCCATCAGCGTTTTCACACTCGGTCAATGGAATTCCAATTGAGAACCACAGGCGCGACAATGAGCACTGCACCGCTGTCGATGAGGATAGACAAGCAAGCTCCCCAACAGAGAACGCGGTTTCCACGTCCCTGGAGGCAGCTACGACAGCTTTGAAGTTGTACAACCAAGCGGTGGCGGTGACAAATCGACATTATGCCAATCAGCATGTCTACCCGTACACTTGTCTTGCTGGTTGCTTGTATCGGCATGGAGATCATCGAGGAGCGTTACACTACTGGTCTAAGGCGGCAGAAGTGATTGGACAGTGAGTGGTTATTCCATGTGTGTTTTGGTCAACCTAAGTTACACTTGTATCGTTGTTGTTTTATCAGCTCGTCAGTCCATGGACAACCTAAACATCCAAATTCCGTGTGATGTCTTGCTTGGGGGGCGTTCTGACCAATGGGCATGAAGGCAGGCTCAATCCAATCTTTGCTTGTGTATCCCAGAACGTAATCATGATACCTTTGGGTAGGCCGGTAGCGTTGTGCTGCACGACCATTTTATGAACAACGACGAGGCTTAGAATACTCTGTCTCGTTTTAATCTTATCAGACAACGTTTATTTCATGTGTGAAGACCACATTCCTCACCTCGGAGACCTTTCGTAGGATTCAGCGCGAAAAGGCGGTTTCACTTTCCCCGACTCGAACCTCCTGAAGGGGAAGCAACTCTCTTGGAGACAAACCGTTTTCACATCGCTAATACCCTCGAAGTGACAAATCCCCTGAGATGAACTGGAACTTTTTAAAAAATTGCCCGGCTGTAGCACCCTTTCGGTGCCTAGGTGCCATGCCATCCGGAGGAAGCACGAGGTTGCCAAAGCCTAGACATTAGAGGTCGAAACGCTGAGGTTGGGTTCCAAACACGCAACTTCCGATCGAAAAATTTGCGCCTTAACCACCGATCCATAGAACTAGACTACACTGTTTGATTTCTGGGGAAATCTCACATTGGCGAGGCCGTTCGCTACTGACTTAGTTTTACTGGTCGACAATGACCGATAAACCGCTTTTGTCATTATCACCGATTTACACCATCCTACAGTCGTGGGTTCCTGCCAGACGGACTCAACCCGATCGGAAGCAGTTTGGAACTTTTCATATAGTTCCTGCTGGAAATAGGGTTATACCTTTTGCAATAGCTCTGTGCTTTTGTTCTTTTGTTCACATTCATTTTTTCGGGCCTTTGAACTCATCAAAAATGTCGACTGGTCGTCCGATCCTCTCCCGTTTTCTCCAAATAAGATTAGTTCATTTATGCTCTCAAATAATTTCTCTCTCAGTGGACAGTTTATGAAATACGATCAGCTGTTGGTCAGCATCCATCCAAGAGAGCAGCTGTTTGGTGTGTAGGGTGTTCAGGTGTCCCTAAAAAATACACTACTTACAGATGCGAGTATAATACAACTCACTTTAGTCTCTTCACGACGGCGTAATACAAGTGAACGTCTGAGAACGGGACGCCTGTATTTGTTCATACATGGACCTATGGTATCGTTTTGTGTGGCTGCACCGTACCTGAGAATTAAAGGTCGTTGTAAACTCGATTATTGTAACCAATTCAATAGTTTCCACCGGTGGTGACACTTAAAATGCGGTTTTCTTGAAAGTTTAAAACATGACATGGGCCCCCCCCCCCCGATCAATTTGAACAATACAGACTAAACAAGTTTCCGGAATAAATTCTTCTCGTACATTCTCTTCCGACACAAAACGTGTAAAACCGCAACGTGTCTTGGTTTTTTTTTGGCCAACGCCTGTGGTTTCATTGTTCTCAGGTCAGTGAGGCTTGGTTCTCATAATGTACTAACATGCGGAAAGCTCAGTGGAAGCCTAATTGCTGACCTTAAGCCTTAATAGTGAAGATATTAATGCTTGCGCTGTGTGATTTCTGTTGTTCGGAAAGGGCAGGTTGATGCTTTGAGACATCTGTCTGAGCTCCTTGTGTTGCTGCATAGCAGTGCACACACACGCATGGCCTAGCCAGCGTGTAACTCGCGAACTAGGGCCACTTTTTTCCGTTATCTTGATGACACCTGAAGAATTCTGGGTCAACTGTTCTGGCTTCGAAACTTCGGTGTTGAACACTGATGTTATGCTGTGAACGATAGTAATGATGATAGTCACTGTGTAACTTTTGCTGTGGATTCAGCCAAATGGGTCGAACAAAGGGCGTAAAAACCACAATGGTTCGTCTTTCTATTCCATTCCCGGGTAATTTTGCATGCCTCTGGCTTCCTGCGATGGATGCAATGACTAGTGCTCGTGACGGCCCTGTGGGGTGGGTATGTGTTCTACAAGCCACTTGCTTCATTCACAGAACGCAGCTGTACGAATTGTGCTGCTCAGCGAAACAGGTTACTCAGGTTGGATTACCTTTCCACACATCGAATTCAAACTGGCTGATGTATCTGTGGGACGGGGTTTGTCGGGTTTGGGTTAGGTGGGAAGGGTGAAATTATTCAAGATTAACTTGCAACTATTGTTGTTGCCTTTGTCTTTTTTAGTGGTTTCAACACAGGAGGCTTTCTCTGTCCCTTGTTTTAAAGCACCCTGGTCCCCAGATCATTTGGCTGTTTTTTTTTTCACCAAAAAACCCACAGGTATAACCACAGTTCTGAAGACTTGGAAATATATCGCGAACTTTTAGAAATTGCCACCCAACTGATGCCTCACATGTTCCGAAGTGCTGCGGAAGCTTCGCGATCCTGTTCTGAAGGCCTGGTCGAGGCTGACCCAGATGGGTGTCTATATCAACCGGCAAATATTTTGGGTGAGTATTGTTCACTCGTTGTTCCTGTCTCCTTTAGCTTCATTGATAAGTGCTTAGAGCACCCTTTTTTTCGGTGACCCTATCATCTAACTTGTCGCATTTCTTCAACATGCCGTACGCTACTTTTACGGCAGAGAACAATCATCCCCAGTCCCGATTCTTCGCCATTGGTTTACCTGTGAACCTAAAAATTCGGAACACTGAGCTGTTGATATGCAAACATGTATGAATCCTCTTTGTCCGGCTGTAACCATTTTGATCAGATTAGAAACATGATACTCATAGGTAACAGCCTCGACAAGCCATAGTTTTCGTTTGGCAACGACCGCTCATTGAATAGGACACCGGTATCAGGCTTCATTCGGTCGTGAGTTGCACTCGCACTCACAGAAGTCTCCACACTGTGCTGTCAGGGATTGCCTATGAAACCTGATAGAGCGAACTGAATTCTGTTCCAAGTTGGACCATGGTGATCTCATGTGTGCTATACTACTGATATATTTACAGGGTGTTGTTAACTGGAGGTAGCCTTCCTTGTAAGTTGTCGCAGTTGTTACAATTTTCTCTTCGGTAACTATGCGTTGTGTAAGCCCCTTCACTGAGGACCACGCGGTCAAGAACTTCAATGAGAAGACCACCCAGCATCATAAGACGTCACCTGATAAAATCGTTGCTAGAGTTTCATAAAAGTAGCTGTTAGATCCGGTTATCCCATAAAGCTGCCATCAGAGTAGTGTTCAGGATGGGAATTCGACAGTCCAATTGGTCAGTCCCGTGGTAACGAGCCTCTGTTAACTTCAAACTGAGTATTTTTCAGGTTATAACTAAAAAACGACTCGGTTCACGAATTACCTCCTTAGTAGTACTGAGTTCCAGTAAATCAGTTTAATCATCTATGTCGTCAGAAGCTTATTTTCCTATTGCAAAACTCCAGATACAGTAATTCGCAGTAGGATTGTATCGGCAAATCGAGAACTGTATTACGTTAGCTGAAACAGGCTTAGTCAAATTTACAAGAATTCCAGTGTACCCTTTGTCAGTCCGCTTTTGCATCCTACTCACTTGTGCTGAAAGGCCCACGAGCGCGGGCGAGATGGCCCAAGTGGTAAGAGCGCGAATTTACTGATCAGAAGGTCCGTGGTTCGAACCTGACCTCTGCCTCTCGACTTCCCCTGTCTAGGCTTGGGCAACCTAGCAGTATCCCAGCCCTCGTGCAACCTTAGGGTGGCATGGCAGCTAGGCACCGAAAGGGTTCTACAGCTGGACGATTTTTTTCGAACACTGCCATTCGGTTACGGGCTGCCGTTGAGGAGCCGATTGACATGGGGCTCTTTGAACGCTCAAATTCGATTCAAATGAGCCGGGGTTGACTGATATCTCACATATCACTAGGGCGTTCATCCGCGAAAGAGTGAATCGGAAAGCCAGCCAATCCAGATCATACGGTGTGAACAGTCATTACCTTATGGTCACAACTTACTCATTTTGAACTAGCGGGGCGTTCGCCATGTCTTGAAAATCATTCAAGGAAACATGGTATGAGCTAATGAAACTCAGGGATGAACTCCAAATACTATCGTCTCGCTTAACCAACTAGTGATCCGCCGTCGGTGCCATTGTAAACCACTAATACGTGTACACTGGTGTGCATCATTTTCCGTGATTTTGTCTTTAAACGAAAACGGTGAAATCCGCGATCTCGTAGGTTTGTGGAGGATGCAGGGTCTTACGAGTGATGGTTCCTCTTTCTGCCCGCACAGACGATCCACAATGTCTGGCTTACTTGCTGGCATTCTACGATCACCTATGTCTTTGGGAGGAAGGATCTCCTGTCCCCGTGTTACATGTCGGTTGGGTGGACAAGCTGATGGTCAATTTGGCACGATTTTCCAGGCGTGCACGACGGCTGCTGGTGCTGTCAGTCGAAGACAACAGAAATGCAAAGAATGAGGATCTGCCCCACTCTCCCATGTCCAAAAGGTCTGATGATACATCGGTATGTAGCCCTTCGATAACCAGTAAACGGTCAAGTCGTCGAACACGTAACGCCTATCCGGGTGAAGGTGCCCACAATCCCATCTCCTCAGCTGTCGTTTCGGCTCCATCACCCAGCTTCTCCGTCGCCAGCCAGGCGTTGACAGTTCTGACTTCCTCACCCCCGATGGACCGTCCTACCAACAGCATGTCCCCGTTACACTCCTCGCTACCGCATGATAAAATCGACAGGGTCCCGTCGGTTAACCGAATTCCCAATACTTTGCGTAAGTAAAGTCATTAGATGTTGTTGTGTTCACTCGAATACCAACGATGACTCCTGTTAGGTGTAAATTGGTGACTGTCCTGCTGTTCATTAAATTTTCGACACAACGGTTTGCTCAGTTTGCTTACTTCCTGGCCCGCGAGCATATCTGAAAACCACATTCTCTTCTTCCCTCGGAAAACACATTCTTTCGAATTCTCTCCGTAGATAGTCAAAACAGAAAAGACTGTTGATCCTTCCACTGTTTTGGAGCAAGTAGACTGCGGGATGTTCCCCGCCATTTGGCATAGATTCAGTACAGCTCACGTCTCGGTCCTATTTTCGTCTCCATTAGGGTTACACCGTACGTCCGACCGGTTGCACGGTTGCTGTACGCAGCACAATAGTTTGTCACTTTTAGTATTCAAGCCAGAGACTCATCACAGTCTTGTTGTCAGTGTGTCGGCTTGAAAAATGCGTATTCATGGTTCATTCAACTAAACAACCACAACAGTATAGAGAATGTGGCAATATCAACCGATGCTCCACAAAAACCACTTATATTGCGAAACGTCTGCTTTCGGAACGTTTCACAACACAATTTATCACTAGTTACGTGGTCGTAGCAAATACTCTCTGCTTCCTATTGGTACCGGTTTCCCGACTCACATGGGTGAAGCCATGAAACATTACTGTCCCGATATTCTATTGACTTTCCTCGAAGATCACCGAAACCCATTTGGTTGAAACAACCACCAACCCTTTGTTCCTTGCCAGTTTGTCACGTCCCTCCCTCGTTGGAGGTGAAATTCGTCATGCAGTACACTGTTCGTTTAAGGCACGTGAAGGCACGGGAAGATGAACTGTTTAAGTATGGAACTTCGCTTAGCCACACAATTACGGGAGTCTAAACATGCAAATAAATTGGCAGTAAAGCACCTCTGGACCAGCGCTATCAGCTGATAAAATTAAACACCTAGATTAGAGTCACCAACCAGATGATGACCCTTGGACAAGACAGGAATCGTCGATGGCCATGGGATGTGTAGATATGCCGGGGTTGATGATAACTAAAAAAAGAAAAGAAAAAGCGTTCAGCTGTAGCACCCTTCCGGCGCCTAGCTGCCATGCCACCCGAAGGAAGCACGAGGGCTGGGATACTGCCAGGTTACCCAAACTTAGACCGGGGAAGTCGAGTGGCGGAGGTCGGATTCGAACCACGGACCTTCTTCAGGTCAGTAAACTCGCGCTCTAACCACTTGGGCCATCTCGCCCCCTTGATGCTAACTGGAGCTCACTTGTGCGAAAAATGCACTTTTGCCGGTGGAGGTTCGGATCAAACAGTTTGATGACAGCTGCTTCTGCCACAGGTGTGAACTAATATTGTACACAAGAACAATTATAACCAACAATCCGATTGCTCAGGCATTGATCAGGTGACCTGCAGAAATCAACTAGCCAGTATCTATTCAACATTATCCACTTTTTATTCGAATAACTTGCATGAGTAAAGAGACTAATAGAAATGTTTATTGATTGCAGCGTATATCTTCTGTCAGTTCTAGTGAGGCGGATAAGGGGGGGGGTGCAATGTTCCAAACATATCGATTTGGGTAGATTCGGTTTGGATCTACAAACCAGCCAGAATGCTTCCTCGAATGTGCTTTGACCAAGCGCCGAAAGTTTTAGGTTACTTCCCACCGGTTTAGATTGCCAATGTGTCTTTTATTTTTTGGCCAGGTTGCCTTCAAGGGATAGCCAAGGAGTACCCGGTTTTCTAAGGTCTATAATCTAGCCGAACAATCATTTTTAGACCACACAATCTGTTGGTTCATTTTGTGCGGTGACAAGCCTTCAAGGGGAACACGTTTAAGCTAGTGTTAAGGTACACAATTCAAACGACATTGTGCTGTGATCAATTGGTCGATCAGGTCTTGATAATAGTTGATCTCGCCGTTTATAACTTCGTTTTTTTTATTTTTATGCATTTCGCTTATTTAGGACGACAAAAGTCAAAAGTGGCGCCTTCCGTCAACTCACAGCTTGTGACTGTTAACGGCAGCTCAGTACCATCGACAGAAGTGGCTGAATCCAATGATATAGTCCAAACCGGGGTCACAGACATGAAGCATTTACCCAGTGCCGAGGTTGCCGAAGTCCTTGCTCGCATCTATCAAGAACCCGATCAACAAAAAGCAGACCTTGCTACAGATATTGAGGAACAGGATGGTTCACCTTCCCCTCCGCCGCTTATCGATTTTCCAAATCACGATGACTTTCTGACCAGTTTGGTTGAAGTCTGCGACCAGCGCCTATTAAATCCGGCTTTTCTGTGGGGAGTGGAGCCACACCTACCATTCCTCCCAGCTGATGTGGCCCCAGAGGAGGCTCTCACGCGCCTGCTAGCTTCACTGGAATCGAAACAGTCTTTGCAAACAAACGTCAGTTTGTTTCCGACTCCCCCGAATTCGGGAGGTGTTTGTGATTCAACAATCCAAGGCCCCGTTTCCATCGGGAGCGACCAAAAACCAACGGACAAGGATCCGTTACCACTTATCAGCGCCACAGATATCAAGCCCCAACGAGATAAACTTGACAAATCCCCGTCGCATCTGGAAAAGGCTTCGGACGATACGCGGTTACTGAATGACTTTGAAGATCTTGATGATCCCGATTTTTTAGTACACGAAGTCCCTTCCAATCTACTGGATACGATGACAGGATTTGAGCGTGAATTCAAACTGGACCCGCTGCTCCATGAGGCGACCACGGGTTCGGATGAAATGCTACTCAGTTCCATTATGAAATCAGAGACAGACTCAGAATCGTCGCCCCATCACTCGTCGAAGACCTCCCGTTCGGTTGCAAAGACCATGGACGAACTACTTGTCCATTTGACACTCCACTCGACAAAAATGATATCCATTGTGGAGCTGTTACGCGCCCAGCGTTTGAATTCATCTGCAATCAAACTTGCCTTGACAGCTCAAAGTCAGGTTTGTCTTCGGCGTACAGGATTGTCCTCTCTGTATGAAGTTTGAACTGATCCTAATCGCTGATATCGATCCCCACACGTTTCCTCTTCTCAACTTATTTTCATACCTTTTTGCACATAGTGTTTTGAATGGTCTATTCCCAATTTTCCTTGGTGTGTAATCATAATATCCAAGACAACGTTTGTCTTGAGCTTTTGTACTCTTTGTTTATAGTTTGTCCCTCATCCCGCCATGAACGTCTTTGTTTAATCGAGGGTGTATTTTGTTAGGTGCGCGTGTTTGTATGTGCACAGGCGAGGATACATCTTCGTTTTCATTGTTTTTTGCCTTAACTGTAATCTTTCCGTATGTAATTCCTCATATAAATTCGTACACATTCCTCGCCCCATTACTATCCGCAACGATTTTTTCCCTTTCCTTGCACCTGAATGGCCTTGTTGTCTTCAGATTGATATTCAAAGATCCACCTCATTCTATCATTTCGTGTGTCATATTTTGTGGTACCTGGGACTATTTTGTACATACCTTCATTGACCCCACCCCCCTACGTGTAACCGCACGTGGCGTTTGGTCGCTCCCTTCCTCCATCATTCAGGTTATTGAGAAGCGGCTGCACTTGTGTTTTCTTTCCGAATCCCACTTCCCATCAGATCCCGGTTGAGATTATCCAAGACGTCCCGGTGAATAAAGTGATCGAACAGCCGCCGAAACAATCATGGTTCTGTGGCGTCACACTTGTCATTGTATCCGTTTTTGTTGTTATTTCGATCACTGTTTCCCATTTTACGGAGCTGTCTATTTTCTATCTCACACGGTAGTTTCCCTCCATTTTTGCCAGGTCCTACACAGACATTTTGGTACCATATAAATAGAGAATGGGACGTTTGATGGTTGTTCTTTTCGTATATCTGAAGCAGGGTTACTTCGGGCGACTATTGATTGTTACGCTAGTGGACGATCGTACTTCCTCTAGGCTCATCCGGTGTCAGCCTAATCAACTCGTCAACTGGGTAAGCAGCATCTTTGTAGGCGAAGCCAATGGTCGCAGTTCAGCAAACATATTTCGACGTTCCCCTGTTCTCTTGTCTTAACGCACAGCGGCCAGGCTTCACAACCACGGAGAAACACTGGATGCATTGCTCAGTTGTGGACCGTGTCTTCCACCGATAAGCTTATGTCATATCGACTTCAGGGGCGTCCAATTTGGAGGAAAGCGGAACGAGCTCTAGGATTCACTTGGTCATGAATCCGACGTAATATAACAAACCAGACAGATAAATCTGTCTACTATCTCTAATGGTTCTGATGTCGTTACTTGCTCTGATGGTTCACTGGCCTTTTCTTCTGATGGCACTTTAAGGTATGAAGGTTCAAAGCGCATACCATATCGCATGGCAGCATTAGATTATTTCGTGTATTTTCTATTCGGGTGGAATATGAATCAAGTGACCCAGTCGTTTTCTTGTAAGTTCTTCACAAGAGGTGTCTGATAGTGTCATCATTGTATTTTCTTGGGGAAGCATGCAAAGATGATAATAGACAGCTCATGGGTTTGGGGTCAGTGGATGACAGAGTTGATGTGCGACGGTTTATTCATTCAATTCACATCGAAACGTCTTAGTTCTTTCAAGAGTAAAACGGTATGCTTAATGGAAGCATCGTTTACTGTGTCCTACTAAATGTTAGCGTGTCTCGTCCTGGATCCATCAACGGAGAAGTTGGTAGTTTCCGCCGTGATTGAGTTTATTGTCCAGGAATCTCTATGGACGCACCACGTGCCACAAAGCTGACCGAATCAGCCCAGGTCCCTCAGTCTACTAGTTCTTTTTGGGCTTTTTCCGTCAGACCGCGGCAGCCATCGATCGACCACACTGGCTTGTGATGCCGTTGACTATCTCCGGAGTCAATCAGTGCTCTCTTCTGCTACATAGGTGTTGTTTTTGCTGGCTGTCTTTTCTGTCACTCTACAACCGCCAACCCGTCTAAAGTCCGTTAAAGACACGTTCGCTAAAATGCCTGTTGCATGACGATAAACATCGCCATGGTTCTTGCGACTGAGGGATTGATTCCGTCTTTCACCAAACCATCGGGTCATATGCAGCTCTCCAGGTGTGTGAAGTAATCCAGTAAATCGGTCGCCCCATGTGTAAGCATGAAGTTAAGATCCGCTATCGCCCTGCCCAGCAGGTTCGGTGTTCGCGCGGAATTCTTAAAGTGATTCGTGTGTAAAAGAACACAAGCGTTGTTAGTTTATTTAGTATTTGGGTAAATGCCCCCGGAAGTTTTCGAATTTTGAAGCGTTGGAGGCAGGCAAACGAACTTGTATAGTGAATTTGAAGGCAGACGATAGCAGACAGCCTTGCGTGACGGTCCTGGATGTGGCGAAGTTGCCAGAGTATATATAGTTTTTTTGGCTAATAGCACTCTTGAGCAGCAGACTAGCGTATAACTAATGGTCGATAATGAAGGTGTCTCACCTCACTCCAGATTATTGAAGAATTCTTTCGGGGTGATTCAAACGGAACCGGATGGCTGCTATCAGACTGTTGAAGGAATCAAGCTGTTTTCAGTAAAACAGCCGGTCAAATTGAACTGACCTTCTCTAACGAAAGTCACCATCCAATGGGAAGCGAACTCTTTGAGGGCAATGTATAGGGTCCACTGTCTGTGAAGCAGATCGTAGAAAGATTGCAAGAAGTTACGGAAATGACTTCAAGCAAAATATCTGGTAGTCTTCACCAAGTTTATCTCCTGACTCAAACGTAGTGCAGTTTTATTCGTTCCTCATTTGAAGAATCTTCTTATCGCCTCAAACTCACCGCCTGAGCTACTCTCTAGCCTGAGCGACATGTGTTTGCGGGGTCTTGTAGGGTTTCATTGGGTTTCATACATTTCCAACTCAATCCAAGTATATATGATGTCAGTTCAGACTGGTACTGGCAGGAACTCGTGGTCATTTGGGTGTGCTAAAAACTGGTCATTCGAGACTAAACTTCCGACCAGGATTAAATTAGTTCCACCTTCAAATTACGTGCCTTTTTCCAACACGCTGTCTAGTGTTACCAGAGGAAAAGACGCACACACACAGCCACAATCAGTGTCATTTTATTAGTTGTAGGCTAGCTGTAAGCTACTCCCTAAGATGTCCTCTGCATCTTTCCTAATCTTGGGACCAAACGTGGCTTCGTGTTTGAGCTTACCCGCGGGACCGAATGACCTCATTTTACTCCGCGGGGATTTCTTTCTCGAGAAAGGATTTTATCTTATTAACAATGAAGAAACTGAAAAGACCAATGTTTACAGCAATGGCTACTTCATTATCCGATTGTCGTGAACGCTGCTGATTTTTTTCTGATCGTTTCACGCTGAATAAAAACTTGGGAACATTCGAGAATGTTGGTTGGTGTTGATTGCTGTTGACGTTCTAATTCGACCGTGTGGTATTGTTTCCGGGTTAGTAAACATCCTTTGTAGGCTTGTACTGGATTTCTACGAGTCCGGAATGTATTCGAGATACACGTACTCCAAACGTATTCTCACACTGCGCACAGGGCACCAAATCTGTTATATCTGACTGCTGTCCTTGCTCCAGTGCCTAGTGGCAGAAAAAGACTCACCAACAAAGAACACATCTTTATCACAACAAGCGAGTGCAAGTCACAACGACCGCGCCCTAGTTAAAGGACACTTTTTGATATTGATCCAGGCTGTCTGATAGGCGTTTAGTTAACACCCATTAACATCGACCCCGCTTCTATGAAATGCCTGAACGCTGATCATATTCGGTCGGGTTTTCGTAGCGTGCCTGAACACTCATCGGCTTTTGCTGAATTGAATGAGTGATTGACTGATCTGGATGCTTGCGGGCTTTCCCATTCAGATTTCGGGTCTCAGTAGGTCCTGGGCGTCCTGGGGTTAGTTTCAGGAATTTGACCCTCCTGACAGCTCAGAATCACAGAGCTCACCCCAACCGACCGAAATTGGTATTGCAGATGTTCTTGCGGTTCCATCTGCTCTTGGGAATGGGAAGGTCTTGTCGGCAGCAGCAAGGAACCAGAAACCTTCAACATGACAAATGGTAACTAGCTAAACAGTCGCGCTGCTACTGTAGCTACCCCCAGTCTTTGACATACCAAGACAATTTTGTCGCACAGAAGTTTTAATGATCTTGGTAACGAATGCGGAGATCACAGCTGAATCGTCTTCTGGCTTTCACTCAAATGTCACCCTTCCGGATAGTCTTTGTAGGGCGGCGGTGTTATATGAGAATAGCCCGATTTTCGCTGTGGCAAATCGTTTTGTGGTTCTTTTGCACAAAGATGGTCTGCAGATAAGAGGACCACTTCAATAGTCCTAGTTTTTCATTGCAAATCGTTTGTGGTTCTTTTGCACAAAGATGGTCTGCAGATAAGAGGACCACTTCAATAGTCCTAGTTTTTCATTGCGTTGCTAGCTAACTCGGATCGTGTTCACAGTTTTTGTTGGCTGTTTGAAGGTGCGCGATTGGGACCTACCCGCTACAAGCAGATGAGGATTTGTGACAGTGCAGCGGTTGTTTGTGCCCTTGTGACCTATCGAGCTATATTCAGGGGTTTCACCCATACTATGTTGGTCAGTTTGAGTTTTGACAAACAAAGTCTCCTTATGCTCCAGGTTGTGGGTTGACAAAGGTGCCTGACTTGGTTGGGGACCCTAAATGTTCCCTCTTTCAGGTGTTGGCGCCCCGTTATCATCCCAGCACACGTACAACCATGAGCGTTACACCAAAATATATTGTCATACCACACCGATCGTCACTTAGTGTCATCAGTCAAGTCACCTTACTTGTTGTATGCAACAGCGTGGGTAAGCTAAAGCATGCTGCTGCTCTTACCGTTATACAGTGCTTCGGTATCTAACTTGCACCTTCGTAAAGTCATGTTTCGTAAAGCGTAAAGTCATGATTCAGGACGTGCGATCTCTGCCCCTTGCAATTCAAGCGGAAGCATTGAAGTTTGTGGAAACCAGCGTGCATCTCGGTGGTTCTAGTAGCGTTGATGGAAGTGTCTTTGATCAATCTAGTGCAGGGGTCTCGAGTTTTTTTTGGTTGCGTTGACTTGTGGCGTCAAAACGTTATATCACCAGGCCTCAAGGACCAAATTCACCAGGTTGTAGTACGAGATTATTGTTGTACGGTTGCAAGACATGAGGATGATGGATATGGAGCATCTACGGGTCTTTTGAATACTGATCTCTTTTAGAAGCGTTGCTGGTGTCGTATGAAGAAAAGTGGAAAGTGGATATTTGGTTATCCATCAGGTATTTTGGTTGCGAACTAAATCCAGCACATGGCTCAACCATGTGCTACGCATGCCGAAACATCGTCTACCGAGACCACTGTTGCAATCCATGCCATCTTCGAAATGGCGCGAACTGCGAGGTGGGTACCGTAGAACTTGGCAAAAGGGTGGAAAAGAGATCGTAATGGGTTTAGGCGTAACGTTCAGCATTCCTGGATGGGGTCGCCTGCGCTTGGCTGGAATTGGCAGTCAATCAGCGGCGCTGGTGCTGTCGGTTTTTCTCCACATTGTCCGATTGACCAATTGAAAATCTAGATAGCTCGGAATGCTTGCGATAGGCAAGCATCTGGTCCTTGTTTCATCCAGTCTTTTCTATTGTTTTTTTTTTCACTTTATGGCTTTCAATATAGTTAAATAAACGTTTTGGTTACACGTTAGTGAAGTGTCCGTGTTAACAGTGATGCTACCCTCTCCAAGCATGATGGAAATGGTGATACCGGACAACGGCGGTCAGTTCACATTTCGTCTGATGTGATGTGCCCCACATCACCAGCATTTCATCTCCAGTTTAACGGAGAAGCTGAACTATTCGTGGATGCATTC